GCTTATTCTATTTTACTGTCTCCTCTCCATTGAGTTAGTAATGAGAGATTATAGTGATTAGATCGTATTGAGTAAGTGGACTGTGATACAATGAGCTATAGGAGTGGACGAAGTTTAATTCACGTGAAACATGCCAAATGAGATTCCTTGTGTAGGCCCCGGAATTTTGAAATAAACGAGCTGGCCCATTTCCTTAGTTCAGTCCTTAATAAATACTTGCTAGATCACTCCAAATAGTTTTAAAACTTCAGGTATTCCTAACGCATCCATATCCATGATCAACGACTTTACCACAAATCTGAAAGTATAACAACTTATGGTCCTCAAAAACCAAGTTTAGAAATACTTTTAATAAAATAACTTGAGGTGCGTCGCGCCAAATAAAATCTCAAATGTGTGGCCCTCATTTAATTATTTCTTTTAAAATCCTTAGAATTCGAGGCGTGCCATTTAGCAAATTTCCATGGCCCTTGCAAAGTTTATCAACACGTTAGACGCTTTAGGCGCGCTTTTAATAATTTTACCTTCCTAAATACGGGTGTGCATTTCATGCAACCCAAATCCAAATCCCAAAATGTTGAATAAAAATGTGTCGAGGATCCGGGTGCATTTCATGTGACGTGATCCAAAAATACGTTTTTAAACGACGTTCACTTTCTTAAAAAATTTAATTAAAAGCGGTAAATAATTTTAAAATTGCACTATAGGATAACATGTATAAAAAAATCAGATTTTAGCCATTTATAATAGTTTAAGCGACCGTGCTATAGCCACGAGATCTGAGGGTGCCTAGCACCTTCCCTCGGGTCAACAGAATTCCTTATTCAGAATTTCTGGTTCGCAGACTCCATCCGGGAAGTCGAAATTTTCCTCGATTTGGGATTCAAGATAAACCGGTGACTTGGGACACTAAAAGCCAAACCTATCCCAAGTGGCGACTCTGAAATAAATAAATAATCCCATTTCGAATAATGTCACTTTAAATGGAAAAACTCCCTTATACATTACCCTTCGGGGTAAGTGTGTAAAAAAGGAGGTGTGACAGAGTCGGAGATCTAAGATTTTTAAGCTTTCCGTAACTCAATCCTCAGTTGCAAATAAATAATTTTAGAATTGTATAGCCAACAAACCCGCCCCTTCATATATAGGGTAATGGGTGGCTTATGGTGTTCTTATTCATATGAAATTAGTATAATTTTAAACTTCAAGAATAAGTAGGACATAGATTTGTAACTTTGATTGGGATTAGAATCTGACGAATCCATATATTTTCTACTTCTTCACGATCAAATCCTTTTTTTATTACAATTCTTTTTCCTAGCATGTGGTATTTCTACTTTTGTCCCTTTTAGATGACTTATTGTGAATACTAATATATTTTAGGGAATACTAATATATCTAGTCTCTATGTGCGTGCCTCGCACGTATAACAATAGGCGTACCTGATAGTTAAGAGAAGATATGTGAATAAACTTGTTATAGGAAAAGAATTAATCCCATATAATTTATGATATTAGAAATGCTACTTCGGTCGGGCTTGACATCCGCAGGATGGACGAGGGCCGACAGAAAAGACGAAACTCCAACACCTTTAATACATATTTGTTTGCTTGTTGTCAACTATCAACCTAAAATTGAGTTTTTATTTATTTATTTATAATAAAGCAAATATAATAGTATACATCTTGTTCAGACTTTGCGAGAGTCTCATAATGACAAGAGATATATAATTGAAAAACTCATAAAGTCTTGGACAACTGTCATAGATCTATGGTTGATCATACACTTGAGGTAGATTAATAAAGTAGGATACTTTCATTAAACTTATAAATCCTTGTGTTAATTAATTTGAGTTATTTAGCGAATATTTCCCCATTGTTTAATGATATTATGTGGACTTAGTATGTGGAGTTTCACTTTAAAGAACTCAATGTCTAGCTAGTTTACCTCAGTGTTAAAAATATTAGACAACCCTAATTTCTAACAATTTATTACGATTTTATTCAACATGAAATTATGTCTCTGAAAATAATTTAAGCATAATGCAAATGAATTTTAATTTCTTCCACGTTATCTAATCTTGATTGTGCGTTGCAAATGTGATCCTTTGGTCCTTCCTTTGATATGCAGTTATGTTAGTTTATAATTATTAATATAGTTATCTTATTTATAAAAATAAAAATTTATTAGTGTTCGAAACTTGAAAAAAGGGCTAAAATAAGATTTCAAAAAACATAAAATCAAACATAAAGTCGTTTGAATACGTTGGATTAGAAATAAAATACCGTAGAAAAATACATAAAAATTCTGTTGAATAACAGTTTGTTGTTATTTCGGATACCAAAAGAAAATAACAAAATAAAACTAAGCCAACTTTTGTTTTTCAATTGGAATTCAAAAACGAAAACTAACAGTTTTTTGTTCAAAATTTTAAACTAATTATTTTAATTTTAGTACTTTGAAAATATTTGACAATATATAAATGACCAAACTTCTCATTCTAACGTGTCTATTTTCAGTTGTATCATTCCTTATAAGTTGTTGCCAAAATTAATATAAATAGTACAGCGTATAAAAGTTCGTCAATATGTATTTTAGTCATTCAACATTTACTACCCTTATTCTAACGTATCTATTTTCAGTTGTTTCATTCCCATATATAAGTTGTTGCCAAAACTAATATAAATAATAAAAGATCTAAAGCCCGTCAATATTTCAGAAATATTTTAATCAATCAACATTTAGTATAGAATATTCATGCTTTTATAATAATATATAAATATAGATAAATATAGATATCTATACATAGATAGACATGCTTACACATAAATTTTCAATCAACTCTTGGACATGTTCCCTTGATATATATTTGGGAGTGTTAAATTTCTTCCCCAATTTAAATTCATGTTTTTTGGATAAGTATTTCATCTAATACAACTCTTCCTCCTAATGACCCTTGTGTTATTTTTATGAATATTTGTATGAATTACTTCGGTCTTTTGTAGGATATAGAAATCCTTAGGATATAGAAGTCCTTACAGTAATAGAACGTAACTCATACTTTTGTTAGAATCCCAAAAGGAATCAACCCTTTGAAGAAAAGTTACAATCCCATTGCAGTTGTTCCATGGAAGAATCAATGGCAGGCTCGGCGTTTCTATGTCTAGCTTAAATGAAAAACAATTTCAATCTTAGGTGATTTACAATTATATCCTTAAATTATACAAATATTCAAGGTTATAAAAGTCTATCAATATTTCAGGGGTATTTTAGTCGTTCAATATTTAGCTTAAATAATTCGTGCTTTTATAATAATATAGATATAGATATAAATAGAGATAGATAGACTGGTCTAATAACAAGAAATTGACGCGAAGACTATAAGCCATTTTATTGCGCACACAAGTCTAGTCGAATTCATTTTACAAGTTACCTGGCAAAACTAGGAAGTATATACTTGGACCATTATCATTCTCAATTTTAAAAGGCAAAATTGGGACTCGTCTCGGGCTCGTCCATGGCGGAGCACTCGTAAAACGCCCTTGGACTTATGGTGGAGTTTAGTTCCGTGAGACTTACGCCACGGCCGTCGGGGTTTATGTCTCGGACACGCCCAACGCCCTGTGTACTGGGCTCGCCTAATAGAACTTTATGCAATTGTACGTAACTAGCCTTGTAAATTCTCAATTTTGTTAATAAATCGTTGACTATTCAAAATTACTTTTTTTAATCATAAATCATTAAGTTGAGAGTACTTTATGTCATAATTAAAATAAAAATTATTACACGTTATCCACTAAGACTTCTACGATAGTAAATTATAAATAAATCTTTCGTTTAAAAAATATTTATTTATTAACTTTTATTCTTTATTGTATAATAGTTCATAATTGTTATATAATTATTTTTCTAAGTATTATTTTTTTCACATTTACGAGATACAATACTTATTAATTTAATAGCTCAGTATTAGCTAGTAACTATTTTAAAATAATTAGTTATCATGTTATTGTATAGTGAATTATGTGTCACTTTATTAAGTTGTTGAAACTTAAAAATAAATGATGCTAGATAATCATACTTAAATTGTGAATTATGTTTTTAAATAAATTCTCTTTTAAATAAAAAGCATATTAAATAAAAGGAGTATTTTTTTTAAAAAAAATATCAAATTATAATATCGAAATTCTTTTTAAAAAAGCACTGTTGTCATTTTCTCTTTGCCTAATTTAAAATGTTCTCTTTGCCTAATTTAAAATGTTCTCACTGTTTAACACCAGAATAGATCTATTCTTAGAGGCGTAACATGAAATTACACTTAATGACTTAAAAAATTGATGGTGTTGATTTTTTAGCATCCACTTGCCTCATGGGTAAATCTTTAAGGTCAAAAGTTAAAGTGTTACCCATGGGCCAAGCAAGGAGCAACACTTGTTAAACTTGAAAAGAGGACACTCAAAATGTCTTATTTGTGCAAATGGCCCGAAATCATGACTCAAACTTAACATTAAAGGCCCATATATTTGTGAAAGGCCCAAAATTGAAAATAACACGGGCTAACTAGTTTTCGGAATGAGAATAAAAAAATAGCCCGCATTTGTAAAGTGATTGAAAAATAGCTTTTTGCTGAAACACGAGAACTTCTAGCATAATATGCGGGATTATAGAGCTCCTCCATATAAACTTCCAAATTCCAACATATTATGTTGGAACTCTAGCACACAGAAAGTTCCAGCATAATATGCTGGATTATGGAACTCTTGTTTATAAACTTTCCGCATATTATGTTAGAACTCCAGCATATTATGAAATTCCATCATATTTTGGAGGAAGCTCATATGTAAAAGATTCGAACTCCAGCATATTATGTTAGAAAGTTTTCCGAAATTTTAAGGATATTTTTGTTCAGATTTTATCTTTACAAAAAAAAAGACTAAATTTTGATTACTTTAAAATAGTAGCTATTTTTTGATTACCAATAATAAATTTGACTATTTTTTATTTTTTTTTCACACCCAAAAACAGCAAGGCCCAGTAAAATACCCGGCAAGCTCTACTGCTTCTCTGTCTTCGATCATTTTGCACAAAAAACGAAGCAGAGATCAGTGATCAGAAACTCAAAAACTGTGCTTTAAGCTCTCTCTAAAATGCAACAAGGCGATTACACCAGTTCCAATCCCTATTACCACTATCCTCAGAACCCTAATTTGGGCCATAATTCAGCTCCGATCCCAAACCCCATCCCATCACCACCGTCATACGCCTCTGCTCCGCCGTTCACCGCCACTTACACTCCCTCTTCAGATTACTCTTCTTATCCCTCTTCTTACCCTCCCCCTTATCCCGATTTACTTTCTGCTGCTCCAGCACCTCCCTTACAATCGTACAACCCTCCACCACCACCACCGGCGCCGGCACTGCAACAGCCTCAGCCGTCCTCTCCATTTCCTTCATTTGAATCTCATGCTCATTCGCAGCCTCAACAGCCTTATTATTCTTCAGCTAATTCTCCGTATCCTTCAAATTACCCAACTCAATATGATCAGAGTGGGCCCTACTTTGAGGAATCTGGGGATAAATATGTAAATTATGGTTCGGGCAGAGGAGGTGAATTTGGGCAAGATATTTATGGTGATGGAGTATTTGCTTATAAAGGTAGTAAATTAGAGCCATATGGGGCACGAGGGACTGCTCCAAAGTCATCAACTTGGTCAAGTTTTGATGATTTTGGAAGGCCAATTGGGTATAATTCTTCTCCAAAGGGCAAATTATCAGCTCCAGCTGCGAAGATCGTGAAGGCAGTACCCAAGGTGGATACACAGCAGGATGTGAAAAGTGGAGTGCAGAAGTTTAGAGTAAAGTTATTAGCCGAAAGTGGAGGACAGAGTACCCAGGATGTTCTTTGCCAGGTAAAAATATTGATATGAAGAAAAATATAAGCTTTACTTAATTTTCGGTTTTATTTTATTTGGTATAATAATGATATGAATCGAGCTTAAATGAAAAAGTGAGGATTGATGTAGCCGACTTCCAACTTGTTTGGGGACTGAGGCGTAGTTGTTGTTGTTGTTGGTATGAAGAAAAATGCTTTTATCGAAAATGTTTCTTAGAGGAACTCATTTTTCAGTGTATTTGGTTTCTTTGAATTATGGAAAAATGAACAACTTTTTCCACCAAGATAGAAAATAACTTCCATCACTTATGGACAGAAGTCAGCTTCCTTTACAAACATCTCCAGCACTTAGTCCATATCTCTTGTTTCAATCAACATTTAGAATATTTGAAAACCTTATGTCACCAAAAAACTATCTTTATTATAAGCAAATTGACCCAAAACTTGTTTTCATAATGAAGCATTTTATAACGGATTCCCTCCTTACAAAAGGCATCTGCATTTTCCAGTTTCATGCCTTATGGAATACTCTCTTGACCAGTTTCAGTGCATGATTTGGTATTAAGGCATTTAGCATTCTTGCTAAGAAATTGCCAAGTCATCTTGGTCTCTCTTATCTCTGAGATTGTAACACCTTTATTTTGGATCATGCCATTATTTAATATCTTGGCCTTGGGGTCTCGATTCTAGATTTTCGTTTCTCTCACCTTTGGTGTGTATCTTGTCATGATCCAAAAGCGGTGCAAACTTCTCTACTGAGTGCAGGGTCCTCTCAAGCCTGATGAAGTTTTTTTATCCTGTGCGTAGTCTTGAGCCGCTAAGATATATGTTTACCGTGAAAATGGTAACAACAATTAAATTTATAAATGGGATTCTAAAAATACATGATCTATTCCCGAGCTAGTTTGTTAGGGTGATTGGTGTTAAAACGTGTTGTAAAACAGTAAAGATCGAGTTAGCCAAAACGATAATCGAACCAGTAAGGGGAGCAAGCCAGTAGGTACCTCGGAGCCAGGCCTCGAGCCTATCCCAGGCTTATCGAGGGTAATCGGGAAGGGGATAACAGATAAAGATATAAGTAAGTAAGGCTCTATACTATCAATCTTGAGCCAAATGATGAAGAACAAACGAAGAAATAATAAAGTGTTAAAGCGACCTCGGGATATATTTATTTGACAAACCAAGGGAGTAGCTATCAATAGATATGACTTAGAGCCAGAGAGAGATTTAGAGAATGAGAGAGAGAATATTATTGCTTCTTTGCAAGACAATTGGGGGTCCTCTACAAGGCGTTGGTGACCCTTCTTTTATAGAAAAAAGGGCGTCCAAGCTTAATATGGAATAAATAATATAATAAAAGAATGAGATGTGATAGCCTGCTTTTCTTATGTTGTAGGAGGACTGACATCGAGTCGTTTGGACAAGTCTTGTGGACCCCGGATACATCTTTCGGGGGATGTCTTCGCCCATCAGGGCTCGACCGATGCCCGACCTGGGTGAGGCATCGATAGATCTCGAGGGAAGCGACCGAACCGAGATCCTGTGCCTTCGAGATTTATTCTTCGAAGCATTATGCCGAGGGAAAATTGGTCTCCCGATTTCCCCGCACACAATATACAGTTGAGAAATGTATATCTTTTTGTTAAAATCTTCTAGCTATGTTTTGTGCTTCAACGAGGAAGATGCTTCCCTTTTTGGTGTGTGCCTGTATGCTCTAAATCGGCTTCTTGTCTTGGTGCATTATGTGTCTCTATCTCTTAAGTGGTCAAGCAAAAAGCAGCATTCTAACTTGGAATCCTTCTTGCGGTTCATTTCAGATTGGCTTGGATGGAATCCGCATGTTGGACCCAAGCACTAGCCGGACGTTAAGAATATATCCTCTTGACACGATAACTAGATGTGATGTAAGTTTCTTTCTCTCCATGTCCAACCATGTATGACGTTGAAAGAGTTTTCTCTTTTTTCTGAAATGACTTTATGGACTGAAACTTGAACATTGATATTGTTGGTTTGCAACATTGGCTGCTGGTAATGGCATGAGGAAGTTTTGCTATTATATTATATGGTGGAGAAAGAGATGAGTATGGAGTTGAGGGCATAAATTGTTTACCGATTTGCAACTGGAATTTTGTTTTAGAAGTATTTCTAGGTTTTTCAGATACGGCGTTCATTTAACAGAATGCATAAATATGTCGGGGGCATGATATTTTTTTGCATATGAACATGATAGTTTTGTATTTGAGATCACTAGACGGATTGCTATTCAAGATTCTAGCTGCACATCGAGTACCTGAACAATATTTGCCCTCAACTTCATTAAAGCACATTAGATTTGTCTTTTCCCCCAAGATTCTAGATTTTCTCCACCTCTTTGAATCTTTGCTGAATATTGCTGAAGTGGTTCCTGTTGTGCTCTTTAGGTAACTGATTCATCTACCTTTGCCTTCTGGTCAAAAAGTGCGGTGGATATAGAACCAAGGCGTATCAGACTGCAGTCAAACAGTTACACAACCAGTACTCTTTTAGATACTGTGACGGCAGCAACTGTACAGGTTCAAATCTGTCTTTCCGTTTTTAGTATTTGGGATCCCAGTTTGTTTTATCTTTTAACTGTTGTGATTGATGTTTACTGGTCAAAAAAGAATCCTTTATTGATGTTATCAGATTGCTTGATGTTCTTGTCCTGTGTGTATCTATAATTTGGTAGCTTCAATTATCAAAGGATATGAATTTGTAGCTTAATTTATTAAAATAATGAACTTGTAGCTTATAGTAAGTTAGCCAACTGATGTGTTGGCTTTCTTGGTTATCGCTTTGCTCAGTGGACCACTTTGTCTTTCTTGGTTAGGGTTTTACTTAAACCTCCTCATTTCAATAGTTCTCGGTTATCGATTTGCTCAGGGTACTAGTTTGTCTTTCTTGGTTATGATTTACTTAAACCTCCTCATTTCAATAGTTCTATCCCATATTATTTATCTAACAATGTTTTTTGGAGGAAAGTGCAATAGACTGGAGTCTGGACCAGATGGAATGAATCAAATTTTTTATTTTCATTTATTTTAGGGCATCATTGACGAATTTACAAACCGGGAAATTGTAAATTTCTGAATATTCATTCTTATATGGACCAATTTTTACCTTTTTTATGTCAAATGTCTTTCAATGACTTCACACCAAGGCTGCATTGATATACTGGATCCATCTAGTGTGCAACATCCGTTAGGGCTTCACTAAGATCTAGCCATCCATCTATATAAAATGGTTTTTCTTTTGATGAACAAAAACACAAATGAATAGCTAGAATCTTGACTCTAGACAAAGGGTTTTCAACTTATTCAAAAGTCATACTACTCCTTTCTCTTCATATTAATTAAAAAAGGCAAAAAGGGACTATATCTTTTTTATTTAATAACCGTGGAGTCCGGGTCAGCTTGTGCGCACCTCGACTAATTCCACCGGATAACTGCTACCTCTCACCAGCAACAGGTACGATGTAACTCTATCCACCAAGGCTTGGATAGATGGGAAGAATCACCCGTTGGTTTTTTTGTCTCTGCTGGGATTGAAACTGAGACCTCATGGTTCTAACCCACCAGCAATTGTTGCAATTCCCTCTAACTGCGCCAGCTGCTCCACTTTTCGTTTCCCCTCTTGCTTCAACACCGTTGATTTCAATGTATGTTGTAAAGGAAGCAAGAATCTGTATGGTGAATTAAATCATTCTCTGAGATTTAACATTGGAGTTTAAAAGAGGGATCAACATCGATATTTATTTCAGCATTGCTGTAAAAATACTACTTTAGCTTTTCAAATGGACCATTTTTTCCCCATTTCCACCCTCTCTTCAAAATGCGCTAGATGCATTCTTCTATTTCCTCTTCCCTTTCTAAAATCTGCTGAGGTGCATTCTTTCCTTCTCAAGATATGCATTATTATTTCCTTTATTTTTTTCACCCATCTTCAAGGCTGTTTTTTGATAGCTGATATGATAATGGATAAAATTTCTATTTTACCTTATCAAATATGAATTAAAATTTTTTACTGTGCAACTTTCCTTCCCATGTGCGTACTGAAGGAATGTGAGTGTGCACACAAACACATACATATACTGCTTGAAGAAAAAAGAAGGATTGAACGTCAAGCAGTATGTGCATCTGCACACGCACACACAGAGCCCGAGAGACTAACACACCTATATATGTAAACATCTTGAAACTAACATTTCTTTTTCTTCAAGCAGTTCAAGGAGATAGGTGGAAGAATTAGGCCTTCTGAATCTCCAAAGGTGTCTGAACAGCCTACTGAGAAGAAGAAAGGTTTAGTTGATTGGATTAATATAGTGAAGCCGGTCAATGAGGAGAAAGATCACTGGGTAACATGTTTTACTTTATTTGTTTTTCTAATTTGGATATAGATTTGTTTTGCACGCCTCATTTTTACATGATTAGATGTTTAGAGTAGAAGTCCATGAATATATTGATCAACTATGACTCTACTTTCTCGTTCAACGAAAAGCAAAAAAGTGTGATTCTTTTCTTGCCAGATTTTTCTCATCTATTTTCTTTTCTATTTTCTCCGCATCTATTTACTGTATCGCTTCAATGTACTTTTGGCTAATCTTCAAGTCTCTTCACCTTGTTATTCAGTTGAGATGTACTTCCTCTCTCAAATATTTTTGGCTTTCCTATCTGGTTTCCTTAGTTTACAGTCACATGCTTCATTAATCTAAGACATCTTCAGTTTGAATCCATTATAGATGTACAATCAAGTGTATAGTAATTGGAATTCATGTCTGGACAAATATGCCTGAAGTTTGCTTTTGGTAATTGTAATTTTCTTAAATTCTTTCTTTTAAAAGAAAACCTGTTAAAAAATGCTCATAAGTTGCCAAAAGAAAAGGTTTACTTCTGGGTTTGGAAAGAACCAAATGATTGGTATTGTTTACTTCATAAAAAACATTTTATGCTAATATCTTGCCTCTCCAGTATTTTTATGACCAGCTGAATTGAGGTTTAATGAGACGTGCTGCCACGCATATCTCTCTTAAGTAATCTACCTTAGCGTCAGTGAGGTGCTGGAAGTTCCATTATGCTAGAACAATTAATTTTCATTAACTCATTACCATTTTGTCAGGTTCCTGATGAAGCAGTTTCCAAGTGCACAGCTTGTGGATCAGCGTTTAATGCTTTTGTGCGCAAGGCATGTCTTGTGCTTACATATATTAATTATTCTTGCTTACACTATATTTTATTTAAAGAATGGGTGAGAACAAAAAGAGAAAGGGGTGAGTTGATTTACTTCCACTAATAGATGATACGTGATACCAATTAGTTGAGAATTTATTTTAGGCATGTTAATACGTTTATTTTTAGGTGCCTGCCAGTAGGAAAATATAGAGAACTTCTAGTATTTTCCCTTTTTATTTTGCAAAATAACTGTCCTGAGATGAATTTAAATTGGGAACACGGTCAATGAAGATTCAAATAGTCGACACCAACTTGTTTGGTACTGAGGCATAGTAGTTGTTGTTGTAATGAGAGTTAATTGTTCTTGTTTGTCTGCTAAAATTTTTACGAGAAGTAAAAGAAATATTTCTTATGCTTGTCCATATAGATGTTATTTCCTACTTTCGCCAACTTCACTAGGGTTGAAATTGCAGATTTGGAGGAATGGCTCTTACCCTTCTTCTTTTGATTTTCAGACAGGATAATAACGCCTTCCCTCTTGCTACTCTTTCCTCTTTTCACCACAATCAAATATTAGTTATCCCGATATCTGGTTCCTTAATCTCTCTCCCCAACTACCTATCTGGACAGAAAAAAGAAAAGCTCTTCAAATCATCCTCCTAAAAATTTGGAAAAAAGGAAAAAGAAAAAATGGAAATAGAAGTTGTTTATGCATTGTTGTTTATTAATAGAAATTGACTGGTCCAAAAAATTGTTTATAAGAGACGAGGGCAATGACATTTAGATTTTGTTTTCAGCATCATTGTCGGAATTGTGGAGATATTTTCTGTGACAAATGCACTCAGGGACGAACTGCACTTACAGTTGATGAGAATACACCAGCTGTCAGAGTTTGTGACCGATGTATGGTATGCATTAACTAACACTTTGCTCCTATTATCACCGCTTTTTGTTCATTCCCAATTGTGTTTTTGCTCTGGCCTCCTTGTCAAAGAAATTATCCTTTGAGGTTATAAAAGAAATGTCATAAACCTTAATCCTACTTCCTTTTTGATAACTTTTTTGATCAGTCACTTCCTTTGGAAAGAATAACCATGACTTTTTCTTTCTCATGATAAATGCACAGATCATGTGGAACTCACTTTGTAACTCATAAGCGCACTAACAAGTTGTATTTTGCCAATTAGATCCTGCTTTCATTTTGTTAACTACATCTTGTGGCTTTCCTTCAGGCTGAGGTTTCTCGTAGGTTGAGCAGTGGAAAGGAAGCTGCCAATCGATCAACTGGACTGCAAAGTCACGAGGACCTTGCCAAGAAGCTTCAGGTGGTTTATTATTGAATTTTCATCAACTCATGCTTTAGCTTACCTGCAGAAGCAGACCCCACGCACGTGTTCAGCCCATTCTTTTTTTTTTTTTTGATAAAGTAAGAGATATTATAAATGGCATCAAGAAGATGCAGAAATATAGATACAAAAGATTTGTTAGCTCCAGTACAAACTACAAAGAGTCCTATACTAATGTTAAAGATCTAACAAAGTCCAAAAAATTGTCAGGGGAGTTTACAGGTGTTAAGGTACTCGAACTGTACAAAAGTAAAAGACATTTAGCCTTAAGGAAGTGGTTTGGAGTTGCTATTCCATCAAAACATCTCCTATTCCTCTCATTCCAAATACACCAAAAAATACAGAAAGGGATTAGTTTCCAGATTTTCTTGATGGTTGTACCAACTTTCCAACTATTCCAGTTCAAAAAGGCTTCCTTTAAACTCCCAGGCATTACCCAGTCCATTCCAAAAAGAGACAAAAACATGTTCCATAGATCTGCTGAAACTGGGCAGTGTAGTAGAAGGTGCCTGGTTGTTTCTTCATTTTGCATGCACATGTGGCATCTGTTTGCCAAGTGGAAGATCTTCTAGCTAAGTTGTCTTGGGTCAAACATGCTTCATAAAGTGCAATCCAACCGAAACAAATCACCTTTGGGGGTGTTTTTGTTCTCTATATGAGCTTCCAGGCCAGTTGTCCACCATTTCATTCTGAGCACAATAGAATAAGTACCCTGATTTAACTGAGTATTGGCCATCTGGTTCTACCTCCCATCTTAAAGTGTCAGCTGCTTGGTCATTATAGGTGATGCTTCTCAATCTAGCCATCAAGTTGAGTAGCTCTTCAATTTTGCAGTCTTGCATGTTTCTTCTGAAGATTGGGTTCCAAGAGTTTCCTTCTCTGTAATGGGATATGAGGGAGTCCTGGCTGGTAGGATAAGGATGGTTGGTATATTCCTCCTGCAATGGTGTGGCGCCAAGCCATTTATCTTTCCAGAATCTGATGTGCTGTCCATTCCCAAATCTGAGGCTGCAATTTCTGGAGAACTCTTCCCATAATTTGCTGATGTTCTTCTAAGGACCAACACCATGTGGTGCTCTTGAGGTTCTGGTACACCAGTGATTGAGTGATCCATGTTTTGCAGTCACTACTTCCTTCCATAATGCAGGCCCTTCTTGACTATATCTCCATAACCATTTCAACAACATACATTTATTATGAACAGCTAAGTTTCTGATGCCTAGACCACCCGTAGTCTTAGGCTGTGTGACCTTGGCCCACTTAACCAGATGAAATTTGTGATCTTCACTATTACCTTTCCAAAGGAAGTTTCTCCTTAACCTATCCAAATGTTGTAGTGATTTCTTTAGGAATACCGAATAGAGACATAGTGTAGGTTGGGATACTGTCCAAGACACTACTGATGAGTGTCACCCTGCCTCCCATGGATAAATACTGTACTTGCCAAGCTGACAGCTTCTTCTCAACCTTTTCAATGATACCATTCCATACTTCAGAGGATTTGAACTTTGCACCCAATGGGAGGCCCAGGTAAGTGGCTGTGAAGGATCCTGTTCTGCAACAAAGAATTCCTGCTAGATTCTCCAAATTATCCACTGTGTTGACAGGATAAATTATGCTTTTCAGCATATTAATGTGAAGTCCTGACAGTACCTGAAACATAATAAGTGTTAGATTCAGGTGTAGCACCTGAGATTCCTCTGCTCCACAGAATACAAGGGTATCATCTACATAAAGCAAATGAGAGACAGTGATGACATTCCCTGGAGCTTTCCCCACATCAAACCGTCTTATCCGTTGAAGGTTTTTTGCTTTGTCCAGCATCTGGCTCAGGCCTTCCATGGCCAAAATGAATAGAAAAGGGGAGAGAGGATCCCCTTGCCTGAGTCCTTTTTAGGGGGAGAAGAATCCGACTGGGCTTGAGTTTATCAAAATTGAGTACTTGACAGTTTTGATACAGAATTGCATCCACCTTATCCACCTTTGTCCAAATCCCATTTTCCTTAGCATTGTGATGAGATATTGCCAATTGAGTTGGTCAATCTAGTACTTCATTTGCAATTAAGGAAGTATCTGTGATTTGCCTCCCTTTTATGAATGCATTCTGGTGCCCGGAGATGAGCTTCCCAATCACCTTTTTGATCCTCTCTGCTAGTAGCTTTGCAGTTATTTTGTAGACACTACCAATGAGGCTTATTGGTCTAAAATCCTTAAGTTCAATGGCTCCTTTCTTTTTGGGGATGTGTTCAACCCATTCTTGCACAAGTATTCATCTAAATCTTGCACATATACGATTGCTCTTTGTAATTTAAAAACCAAAAAGGAATATATAAGTAAAACCAAAAACACTGTAACCTTCTGCAGCTTTGTTATGCTAAAGAGATTTATATGAATTCCTCTGGCTACCTTTCTATGTGAAGAGCAGCCAGAGGACACAATGAATGTAGGAAAGATTGATCATCTTTAATGTTTGACCTGTCACTGAACTAATTTGATGTTTAAATCTTCTTGTTATTCTCAGGAGGAGATGGAGAGAAACCGCCGAGAATCATCCGGTAAGTTATATCTGCTGAAATACCTATGTTCATATTTAGTCAAAGTGTCTTTGGGAGGTTCTGTATTCTTGTTAATGCATCTGAAGAAGTGGCTTGAGCCACTTGGACTTCTCATGCAAAGCTTTATTGGTTGCTGATCTCTTGCACAATTAGGTTCTCAGTCTCTTGTTTCCTATTTTGTATGTTTGTCTCCACTAACATCAGGCAAGAAACATCATCCTGGCATATCTACTTGCATCAGTTATAATGAAGAAGGGTTGGAATTGAAGAAAAATTATTGGGATAAACATTGAATTGCTACGCATTACTATTGGGGATGTCTTTAGAAAGACATTTCCCGAAAATTCTTTTTTATCTGTAAATAGAATGGGAAACATTACAACTTTTATGCATCGTAGCTTATGTTGCTCAATCACTAGGTGTTTTCTTCCTACGGTACCGTGCTAGTGAGAGGTAGCAGGTACCAGGTGGATAGTCGAGGTGCGCCCAGGCTAGCCCGAATACCACTGTTATTCAAATAATATATTTTTTTTTTGGCTTATGTTCATCAGGGAATAGTTCTAGATGATTATGTACTAATTCTTTTATAGAGTTAGGTCTCCTAGCTCATAAAGATTTTCTGGTTTCAGGCTCAAGGTCAGATCGTTCGGGGAGGATGAAAGAGGTCGCTTGCCCTACTTGTACAGTGCATTTGCAGGTTAATGATCTTAGCCTATCTATTTAAATATTGAAGAGCTTAAAACCTTGGTTTGCATTTTGTTTAATTGCTAGTTCTATAATGGAAACTGCAGGTTCAAGTTCCCAGCTCGGGTTCAGAGACTATAGAGTGTGGGGTTTGCCAGCATCCATTCCTCGTTAGCTCGCACTGATTTCTGATGTTTTGTCAATGGCTGGATTGCGAATTCTTTCCTGGTTTTGTTTGTTCTTACGTCGTGCATACATCTGTTAATAGTTGGATTTTTGTGACATCTTTGGTTGATCACTTGATCCGTTTGTTCCAACTAGGCAATTTGCTTGTTGATCTGTACTAGCACGAAGAAATCAGCATACGTTCATTTCATAAAGAAAATTTAAAGTAATTTGATTCTTTAATTTGATTCCTTTAACTAAGGGGTCGTTTGGTAGGAGGTATTAGAAAAAATAATGCAAGCATTAGCTCTGTGCTTTACAATACCTTGTTTGGTACATTTTTCAACTTGTGTATAGCTAATACTTGTATTAGTTATATATCATACTTGGTATTATCCTATGTATAAGTAATGCATAGAAAACTATGACATTAGTAATATCAAGACTATTAATGCATGTATTAGCATGGTTAAAGATAAAAATGTCCTTAAAGTCCCTTAAAGCTAGTGAATATGGAGGGCATTTTTGTAAATAATTATTTTTCTTAAAAATTATGCAATGCATTATAATTTTTAATACACCACACCAAAAAGTAGATAAGAAATAATATATGCATAACTAATGATTGCATTACTAACCCATGCATTGTAAATTTATGCATTACTAATACACTTTATTCTGCACTATTCTTATACACCCTACCAAACGACCCCTAAATATATTGATTGGGTAATTTAGGGAACTTTTAATTACAAGATAAGTTTTCACGTTAGCTATTTATTGGAGCGTAGAGATTTCTAATGGTTCTAGAATTTTAAGTTTATGGGTTCTGGATCACAACCATTTTACTTATTGGGTTCTCTATAGATTATTGGGATCTTTACACAAATAACCGTTCATATTCATTATTTATTTTTCTAGCCATATACTTAGTTTATACATTGATTATACGTAATATACACATATAATACATAAATTTTGCATATATTATACCTCCACCGGCTATCTTAGTTTAAATGGTTGGGTGAGTGGCTTCTTGAGCCGAGGGTCTATCGGAAACAGTCTCTCTTCCTTTATAAGGTAGGGGTAAAGTCTGAGTATACATTACCCTCTCTAGGGCTGTTCAAAACCAAACCGAAACCGTTAACCTAACCGATGGCTTATTGGCTTATTGGTATCGAGTTATCGGGGTAATGGATGGTGAACGGATTGAGATTTTATAATTAACGGCTTAACAGTTTGCGGGCGGATTACTCAATTTTCTTATCGGGTAATCCATTAACCCGTTAAGAATTTTTATATTTACACTTTTACCCCTATGTATATAAAGTACTACTGAAACCCCTATGTATCTACACTTTGTTTGACCAAAACAGGCTTGATGTCGATTTCTATCTGCCATAGGTACTAAAGAATGCATTACATATTAGATTGAAAAGCTGCCAAGACTTGTATCAGTTGGACTTCTTCCCTCACAGAACAAACGGGAGAGGAATTCAAAGGAAAGGTTATCATTGAGAGGGTTGAAAACCGAATGTCCTTTTATTGTCTTGCGAAGAACGAATGTTTGATTGATTACTGAACTTAGTTAATACGTGTATGAGTAGTCTTAAAGATTCTTCAATTCAAAAATACCGTTTGGTTAGATCTTAGATGATATTAAAAATTTGGTATTAATTTGAAACTGTTTGGTATTGACTGAATGATTATTCAAAAAAATTCTATTTGATTTAGCCGATAAACCGCCCGATAATTGTTAAGCCGATACCAATCCACCCATTATCTTATTGGATGGCTAGTGGATTACTACATTTATAATTCGATAACCGTTAAGCTGAACTGTTAAGCGTAATTATCTGCCCGATTTGCCCGATAAGCACCCCAAACCCTCCCCAGATTCCATGTATGGATTATATTGAATTTGTTGTTGTTGTTGGTTGGGTGGGCGGCTATTTAGGTTAATTTGTGTAGATTATTTATGTATATTAAGTAATCAGACATTAAGATGCGATCCTTTTTCGAACTTTATGTGAATCTGTGTATCGAGCTGCCCTTTTTAAGTAATCAGCTTATTGATAGAAGGAGAACCGCTTCCCATTTGCATGAAGAAAGAGATTGATATGCTGTCCCTCCTATCTTAATCTTTATTTCTTTCTTTTTTCCCTTTCTCCTCTTTTTAGATAAAAAATCTTCAAATCAGATCTTGAAAAGAACATATTTAATCATCACACAGTCACACCTCTATTTTATTTTTATTCAATAATTAATCTACACTGATATTGGCAACTCATATATATCTCAATCTCATCGTTAAACTTCTTATCCCAATTAATGAAGATGTTTCAACAAATAGCTAATTTGATTTAGACATTTTTCCCACCAATGCGATGAAGACATTATTTAATACTCTTAAAAATGACTATTTTGTCTAAAGACAGCTGCCACATTATTGGCTTGTGCCGTGACACGTCAAGCCTACATTATTGGCTTGTTATTCATTGCACAATAGTGTTAATCAGAATACGAATACAGGCAAACCTCTCTACAGCAACCTCGTTTGTTTCGAATATTTTTGAATGTTATAACGAATTACTGTTATAGAACATATATATTATAATAGAACATGAGATTTGATTTCCGGAAAAATTTAGCTTTTATAGAGAAGTATTGTTATATAAGGATGCTGTTATTGAGAGTTCTAACTATAACATTTTTCATGAGTGGGTAGAAATAATCTTCTCTTCATATGACCAATTTAATGAAATTTTTAACCGTCTATTTTTCCTTTTATCTTTGTTTATACAATTACAACTAACACAAAATACATCAAAATAAAGTGGGAGTTTCCTCCAACTAATTTTCAGAGCCTGGTAAATGTTCATTTATTTCATTTTGGTTGAAGTGCTTATAGTGTTTTTTTATTTTTTATCCGGTGTTCGGTATTCGTACTCTGCTGTTGAGTAGTATTTGATATTAATAGCTTATATTGTGAATACCATACCAACTAACTCCAGCTACCATATTATTGTATAATTGAAAAGGTGTGGTGTAATGTTTGGAAGAATTTCCATATTACTACTAAAGTTTGTTTTTCTTAAAAGAGAAAAGGAAGAGAAGTATAGAGATTTAAAAATGGTGATTGGTGAATTGTTGATAGCAACAAGACTGCTTTCATTAATTCCTAATAAATGTATATAATATGTGACTGATATATTTTGGGAGAATTAAGACATTTAAAAATAAGGAAAGTGAAAATTGCGTGTTGATAAAGCAAATTTATCGAGAATAAGATTTAAGGAGGAGTTATATTTTTTTTGTTATAAATGATAGGCAAGTAATTGCATTCTCATTTTAGCATATAATTGTTAAAATTAAATTACGGGCTTTTTTTCACTTTAACCCGCACCAGAAACTATTTACATTTGGTAGCCGAAAAGTGTATAAAATATTTAAATTTTTATACAAAACATACAATATATATATTTGTTTTTTTCCGACTATTATTTTAAAAATGCTTATATATAGTGTCGTTTTCCCAATTAAGTAAGTTCGTTCGTATGTCTTAATCAGAGCGACTTGATAAAGGAAAAAAATTGACTCTCAGAACTTTCTCGTTAGCGTTGGTTAACCTTTTCTTTTCCATTATAGGAATCGGAGAAAATCCCCAAAATTTGTGTTGTTTTGACTCATCATATTTTCTACACACCCAATTTATTAGCTGGTGGATCATTCCAGATTTGTCAAGTTTTCGTGCTTAATTAATCAAAGTTTCTGTTTTTCCAAGAAAAATAATCTTGATTATCTGTTACTGGTTGTTTATCGGACAAGCTAATTAAGTATCTCAAGTTTTGCATTTACGTCTTCAAAACAAGATTGTAGACAACCCAACCCAACCAACTCATATATTTCTAGTTCTGTTGTTAACCAGAATTTTCGTCAAGGGAAATGTCACGAATTAGTGTGACATAATTTGAATTAGAGATCAAGAAGGAATTGAGAAAGGCTCCTTAGTTAATTATAATTGTTTATCAATCCTTATGTTATAGTCTCCTAATTTAGGATTATTACAATTTAGTCTATAGTACACAGTCTAATGAATCAAGGACACCTGTCCATTAGGTACCAATGGCCAGTACAGCTGTGCCTCTATCATCTTTATATTCTATTTCTATGCATTGTAATCAGCACTCAGATTTTATGAATCCCAATTACTGGTTTGCTTAGTTTTTTTTAATTCTTTTCCTTTCTTGGTTCACGAGCTGCCTTCAATCCAACTGCTGTAGCTCTACACGCTACAATTCTGGTATCAGAGCATCCATCTTGGTCAACCATGGTGGATAAGAACCGACACTCCGACGACGGGGGTGGTACTTCCAACCTCGAAACATAGATCCAAGCTTTCATAGCAACCTCTAGCAAGAGGATTGAGGACTTGGAGGAGTTGCAGAAGAAACGAGAAATTGCAGACCAACGTTTGGAATTGTTGGTGGTGGATATGCATCGGAGGGAAGCTTTCCGGCACGATTTACAGTCTAACATGGCGCTAGCTCAGGAAGGTACGTATTTGGAGTCGGGACAGTCATCTGTTCATGGAGCTCCTCGAGCTACGTCGGCATAGGTAACCCCATCGTTAGCAACATGGGTTACTCATCCTCATTCATCCCCACTAATACCGGCTTACACTGGTGTCACCGGTGGGTTGTGGTTGCCGCCGGCCCCAACGACTCCCATTTATTCCGGTGCAATAAGCGGCTTACCTCTTCCCACGCCTACCCCTCTACCCAGATTAACCTATACAACACCATCTAGTGACCCATTGACATTTGCCCCCATGAGCCCTTATTTTTCACACAACCAGCCACATCTTCAACCTTCAATACCTGGTCTACCTCGTACCACTTCTGGTTTTTTCAGTTCCATGCCTAGTCGAATTTCCCCTTCCTACTCAAACTCGGTGATGCCCTTAACCTTTGGAATTTTCAACTCCACAACTGCATCTTCCCAATTGCCATCTTACCCATCCTCAGCCCCTTTCTCCTCTTATACACCAATAATGATCACAACCCAAATTCCGTCACAGGACCAGATGGGAATTTCGACCCAAATGCCTACATACCTAAACACTACTTTCATACCCCATCCTTATCACACACCAGCCCATTTTCCTACCCCACCTGAAGCCCAACCTCAACAGTTGCGCATGCCAAAGGGTAAATTGCCTTTCCCAGAATTTGATGGTATTAATCCTCGAGCTTGGATTCGGCGTTGTGATCATTATTTCAACCTGTACCATGTCCCTGAGGTTGAAAAAATGACATATGTGGCCATCAATACCAGGGAGGCCATTGATAACTGGTACGATTCTTATATGATAAGCCATGGAGGTTATGTTACTTGGCCCCAATTCTGTGTTGATATTTGTGAACGTTATGGTCAATCCAGGGCCATTAATGAAATCACAGAGTTCAACCGATTGCAACAATGGGCTGATGTGGACAGTTTTCAAAAGAAGTTCGAGGATCTACGCTGCCATGTCTTACGAGCTAGCCCCATTTAGATGAGGCCTATTTCATTGAATGCTTTGTGGGCGGCCTAAAAGAAGAACTTGGGCCTTTGGTTGATGTGGCTAACCCACAAACTTTGTTAGAAGCATACAAGTTTGCCAAACGTTATGAGCGTTCTCTCAATGCTTCTGCCAGACAGACCTTGTCCAAAATGCCCAAGCCCAACCCATCACAGTATCTAGCCAAAGCCCAGGTTCCTTTTTCTGCTACTCGAAGCTCAGGAAATAACTTCAAGGTGACGGGCCAGAAAAACCTTTCTATCGAGGCCTTGAGAGAGCAGAACCTATGTTTCAAGTGTCATGATAAATACTCTCCTGGTCACCAATGCAAGCCCAAGGCATTGAATACGATGGAAGGTGAGGAAACATTTATGGAGGCCCTTGATGAAGAATTGCAGAATGATGCAGCGGGTGAAGGAGAGACCGAACAAGCAGAGGTAGCGATTAATGCTATGCTGGTCCAAAATGCGTCCTCCACTGCAATACGTATTTAAGGGTGGATAAGGAAATTTCCCGTCATGGTCCTTATCGATAGCGGAGCAACGCATAGCTTTGTGGATCCCCGAGTTATTAAGCAATTGCGGCTGAACATGGTACCTACTGATCGGATCATGAATGTGAAGGTGGCTAATGGCCAGATAATGAAATGCAACCAAAGGTGCTCAAAATTTTCGTGGACAATGAATGGAGAGGCCTTTGTGTGGGACTTGAATGTGTTAGGAGCAGGTGGTAGTGACATTGTACTTGGAATGGATTGGCTCGATTCTGTAACGCCTGTTTTGCTGCACACCCGTCCTCGTAGCATCTCATTCTTCAGAGGTGAAAGGCTGGTCACATTAACTAGTAGTAACGATGTGGGCTTGATTGAATCGGGGGATGCGAAATCTATACAACGATTGTTGAAGGTGGGTCGCTGTGTCATGACAGCCCAGTTGCTATCCAGTGTAGCTGCTGACCCTCTAGTGGAATTAGCTGAGCCCATTAAGTCTTTAATTAGAGACTTTGCTGATATTTTAAAGAACCTCATGGACTTCCACCAACAAGAGACTGTGACCATGCAATTGAACTAGAACCTGGAGCTAAGCCCATCAACCAAAGACCTTACAGGTATTCGTTTGAACAAAAGAACACCATTGAAATAATGGTGAAAGAGATGTTGGATGCACGGATTGTAGTACCCAGTACTTCCCCATTTGCTTCTGCAGTTATTTTAGTGAAGAAGAAGGATGCCACGTGGAGGTTTTGTGTGGACTACCGGAGGCTTAATGACATCACAATCAAGAATAAATATCCAATTCCAGTAGTTGAAGATTTGCTTGACGAACTTAATGGGGCTGCTTACTTTTCCAAGTTAGATCTGAGGTCCGGATACCATCAAATACGTATGAGGCAAGGGGATGAATTCAAGACGGCATTTAAAACTCATCATGGATTGTGGGAGTTTAGAGTAATGCCTTTCCGCCTTACTAATGCACCAGCTACATTTCAAGCTTTGATGCATAAACTTTTCCGTCCATATTTAAGGAAATTTGTCCTTGTTTTCTTTGATGACATATTAATATACAGTATGTCCCTAGAAGATCATTTGCAACATTTGAAAATGGTATTTGAAGTTCTAAGGGCCAATTTGTTGTTCGCTAAAATGTCAAAATGCTGTTTTGGCCGACCCCAAATTGAATACTTGGGCCATTTGATCTCAGGCCAAGGGGTGAGTACCGACCCATCAAAGATTGAAGCAATGGTGGATTGGCCTTATCCACAAAATGTATGAGAGCTGAGGGGATTTCTTGGGTTAACCGGCTATTATCGACGATTCATTAAGCATTTTGCAATTATTAGCCGGCCCTTAACCGAATTGTTAAAAAAATAAGCATTTAGTTGGAGTGAAAAAGCTTCTTTGGCGTTTGATGAACTGAAAAATGCCATGATTAGAGCTCCTGTTCTGGGACTTCCTGATTTCTCTGTTCCATTTATTATTGAGGTTGATGCAAGTGGGACAGGGGTCAGAGCAGTCTTGATGCAAAATCACAAGGCAATAGCTTTTCTAAGCCAAGCCTTGTGCCCAAAACATTTGGGCTTGTCCACGTACGAGAAGGAACTGTTGGTCTTATTGTTGGCAGTAGACAAATGGTGGCATTACCTTTAGCCCAACCATTTTATTATCCGGACAGACCACTTCAGCCTCAAATTCTTGAAAGATCAAAGGGTGACTATGACTTTGCAACATAAAGGTGTCTCCAAACTTATGGGCCTCAGCTATGAAATACAATTTTGTAAAGGGGTTGATAACGTTGTGGCAGACGCTTTATCCAGAAAATTTGAACCCAATAGCGAAGAGATTGGGCCATCAGAATGCTATGGACTATCAGTTGTTCAGCCCAAATGGGTTCATGAGCTAATTGACAGCTATGATGGGGACCAAGAAGCCCAAAAGTTGATGGCACAATTAACTTTGGACTCAACTGCTGTTCCAAATGTCACTTTCATCAAGGGAGTCTTACGAATGAATGGCAAGTTATGGGTGGGTAATAATGGCCAAATCAGAGACAAGATAATTGAGCAAATGCATTGCACCCCGTGGGGAGGTCATTCTGGGATCTTGGGTACTTAGCAAAGGGTGAAAGCTAACTTCTTTTGGCCGAGTATGATGAAGGACATCAAGGAAAAGGTCAAAGCTTGTGATACCTGCCAGAGAAACAAAGCTGAACATGTACCATACCCGGGCCTTTTGCGACCTCTGCTAGTACCATCTAAAGCTTGGGAACATGTGACTATGGACTTTATTGAAGGCCTGCCTAACTCCTTTGGAAAGAATACAATTCTGGTGGTTATTGACAGATTCACAAAGTATGCACATTTCTTTACTCTAACTCATCCCTATAATGCTTCACAGGTAGCTCAATTATTCTTGGATAATGTTTGCAAGCTACATGGGGTCCCAAAATCCATCCTTTCTGACAGAGATCCCATATTCACTAGTTTGTTTTGGAGGAAAATGTTCAAAGGATTACAGGTAGAGCAACGCCTAAGTTCGTCTTATCATCCACAGACTGATGGCCAATCGGAGAGGCTAAACCAATGTGTTGAAACTTACCTACGATGCATGACTGGTCACAAGCCCAAGGATTGGAGCAAATGGATTTCTATGGATGAATATTGGTACAACACAAACTTCCAATCGGCTATTGGCATGACACCCTTCAGGGCCCTCTATGGCTATGACCCCCCACTTCCCAGTTTCGAGCTTGTTGCACAATCAAAGGTGGATTCTGTGGATCAAGTATTGAAAGAGAGGCAGTTACTGGATCAAATATTAAAGGATAATTTGGTCCAAGCTCAGAATCGCATGAAACAATTTGCAGATTTGAAAAGGAGTGAAAGGGAATTCAAGGTGGGAGATATGGTCTACCTCAAACTTCAACCTTATCGGCAAATGTCTGTGGCTGTTCGGAAGAACCTTAAATTATCAGCAAGATTTTTTGGCCCATATGAAGTTAGTCGAAAAGTTGGAGCTGTCGCTTATGAGCTCAAGCTGCCAGAGGGTTCGAAAATTCACCCTGTCTTTCATGTGTCGCAACTAAAAAAGAAGATTGGCAATCAAGTGGTTCCTTCCATGGACCCTCCCTACTGCAGCAATGAAGGACAAATACTAACCGAGCCCATAGCTATTCTAGAACGAAAAATGATCAAGAAAGGGAACAAAGCAGCTGTCCAAGTGCTTGTCCAGTGGGCAAATCTTTCAAAAGAAGAAGCAACATGGGAGGATTATCATTTCCTCAAATCACAGTTTCCTGGATTTGATGTTTGACGCCATGGATTTCCTTTAGGGGAGTGGAATTGTCACGAATTAGTGTGACATAATTTGAATTAGAGATCAAGAAGGAATTGAGAAGCGCTCCTTAGTTAATTATAATTGTTTATCAGTCCTTATGTTATAGTCTCCTAGTTTAGGATTATTACAATTTAGTCTATAGTACACAGTCTAATGAATCAAGGACACCTGTCCATTAGGTACCAATGGCCAGTACAGCTGTGCCTCTATCATCTTTATATTCTATTTCTATGCATTGTAATCAGCACTCAGATTTTATGAATCCCAATTACTATTTTGCTTAGTTTTTTTTATTTTTTTCCTTTCTTGATTCAGGAGCTGCCTTCAATCCAACTGCTGTAGCTCTACACGGTACAAGAAATCAAAATATGAATAAGAAAATAGACAAAAAAGTCAAAAGAATTCAATATATAATATATATACATAATTTCATATATATATATATATATATATATATATATATATAATTATTTTCCAGCAAAGAGGTATCAAAACACAAGAGTAGCTCCGCCACTGTCTCTAATTATCTCTATGTACAACACATTCGGGGATCTGTAGGCAAGGGCGGAGTCAGAGTGACGGAAGGTCGAACCCCTTTCGCCAAGAAAATTACACTATCTATATAAGGTTAAAATTATTTTTCATGAATTTATAATAGATGTTGAATCCCTTTGACTTCTTTGTGTATTTACTTTTTTATATTCTTGAATCCTCTTTATAAAAATCCTAATTTCGCCACTGTCAGTAGGATCCAAAAATGGGCCCGTTGGTTCGACAAAGCCTAATGCTTCGAAATCGAATCCTATTATATGCATGTATAGTGTGCAAAAGCAAAATATAGATAAAATTAAATACAAAATTCAAAATTCGCTCAACTCAGAATTTACTGTGTCTAAATTCAAGATTTACACTGTTGGCGATTATTAAAAGGAGTTCTGTAAAATTTCAAAAGAAAATTTGGAGAGTTAATTTATTACAAGCGTTATTAATTATAATGAGAAAAAGATAATAATGAAAATTAACGTGTTAATTAAAGTAGCCTCAACAAATAAAACGTGCTAATTAAAGTAGCCCCAACCTAATGGGCTACAATCGACATTAATTTATTTATCCTGCTGATATTAGACCTCTCTCCTTCCTTAATTATTTTTTTGATTCTTTTTTGCACGCCATAAACGGCCTCATTTTTATGGTAAGAACATTTCGATGAATTCGTAGAGTTATTCAAGGCTTTAGGCTGAATATATTTATAAAAAAAAAAAAGGAAATATTAAAATGCCATGCATGGTAAAATATTTTTTCACCTAAATTTACTAAAACTAAATAAAATACTTCTATTAAAATGTGAAAGGTATTAAACTATCGATATTTCGTAGTCTTGGTTAAAATGAAAGTAAGATATTCGAGATGAACATATGGACTAATGCCCTATATTAGAGGCTCAAAAAGGAAAAGTGTAGTGCATTATTGGTTTATTTATGAATACATATAGTCCTGGCAAAAACAATGTGGGTATGCATTATTGGTTTATTTATGTGTGCTATATTAGTTTGAAACATCCAACATGATAGAGTATAATTTTAAGGATTGTATTTGATTCTTATAATATTTTTGTATATTTGAACAAACTGATTCGGCATAATATTTTTATCTTATTAAAAGATCATATATAATTTGGTATACCTATGTATAAAATAGCTGTATTAAAAATAGAAAACACACAAGCCATTATGTTTATTTTCTCTTACACCTTTCTACACAAAATACATATGAAGTAGCTAAATTACAAAATGTAAACCTTTTCATGTTGTAAAACTTTCTCGCCCTGTCTAATCACGTATAAGCAATAATTGACAAGGACATTTATTTCTTTTATAGTATTATTGAGCTAACTGTTATCACACACCAATCACCATTATATTAGCTTACTCTAACTCTCCATATATATTAGTAGTAAAATATATTGTCCTAGTCTCTATAAATAAACAAAAATACATTTCAAACCTCTAACTTCTTTATTTGTTTGTATTCTTGAAAAGGAATTAAGTGTCTGAATTTCTGCAACATAATGTTGGTTATATTCTTTGTTTCTTTTGTTTTGTTTAATATAAGCTCATGTGAAGGGAAAGTGCAGTTGCCAAAGAATGTAGTTGTAAAAGCAGTATTTGCATTTGGAGATTCAATAGTAGATCAAGGAAATAATAACGATATAATAACACTAGCAAAGTGTAATTTTCCACCTTATGGTAAGGACTTCAATGGTGGAATACCCACCGGAAGATTCTGCAACGGCAAGACGCCGCCGGACATCTTAGGTAACTTTTAATTCTCTTTTTTATGAAATTTGATCATCTCTTTTTTTTTTTTTTTGTGTAAGTAATAATAAGAAAAGTTAAGTTTTACGCACTGATTGTATAGATTTTTATGTCTATCAGATGAAGTTGACCTAGAACAGTAGATAACAATTCATTACAAGTATGATATGGTAACTTGAAGAATAAAACTATAACATGCTATATAATGGTGAAGTCAGAAAATTCAATAAGAGTATTCAAATTTTAAACATCCTTCACCGGTAGACTATGAAGGGTGTTCAAAGTCTATTTTTTCTTATCAAGATATAATAAGTAATATTTTACTCTATATATCAGTAGTGGTTCCATCCAGGATTCTGAACAAGGGGTTCAATATTGTAAAGAAGTGAACAGTAAAAATGTTATGCGAATGGGTTCATTGAAATTTTTTGAATCTAAATGTAATGTCAAACGGGTACATCAAAAAAATTCAAATTTAAATGAGAATTAAACTATCGTCGAAACTCATGCTAATGATATGTTGAATTAAAACTTATACATTGATTTGTTTTGAAGTAATCTTTTTTACACAAAATAAAAAGTGAAATGCTAGTAAAAAATGGCATTCTAAAGAAGAAACGGCAA